GAAGGATGTTAATGTCTAGGGCTTGGAAGTGTTTCTGGCATGCTAAAACTCTTTGCATGTGCCTAGTTGCATGCCAAAAACCTTGGTACTGATGCACCTGGTTTGCAACCCAACCTATTTATCCAGGCAGAGAGGATATAAGGTCTCTAATTTCTTTGCTGAGTTCATTTTCTTGCAATTATTTTGGAAGAACACAAGGAGGAAGTTGAGTTGTTGACATGGTTTTTAGAATAGGAAAGGTTGAAAGAGTGGTGTTAAAGGCCTTGCACGGCTCTTTGTGGTTGGGAGTAATTTTGACAACCAACGACGTCAAGTACTTGATATATATATAGCTGTTTACCCGTTTTGATGTAGTTCCTGTGGTGTAGGGTAAAGTTCCCCACTGAAAACCATTGGGTTATTGTGAGCGTATCACTGTTAGCGGTTAAAAGCTCTAACAGACTGTAAAATGTAATAATTTGCGCCCCAAGCTATTGACTTTGATTAAGTGATTGTGAATTTGGGTGAGGAATATCTCCCAAGAAAGTTCTTTTCTTGCCTAAGATGGGTGAGGACTTCATAATTTCCCTTAGTAAAAAAAACTAGTAAGTTTAGCCAAAAAATAAGTTTTTGAAAATAAAACAAACGAGTTCAAGGAGAACTGTTTATTATACGTTAAATAAAAAGAACTGCCAAGTCTGAGAAGACATCAGAACATTGGACTTCCATTTTTGCCTAGATTGCCGTTTGTGACTCAGGCTGGACTAGATGTATCTGTACTGGAGTTGCACGTACTGCTTCAACTAATGGAGATTAGTTGGAAATCGATACAACTGTTGAAATTAGCAGAGCTATAATCAGTTTGAGCCATGGAGAGGCTTGACAAGGGGGCATAATGAAAAGAATATTGTGGGAATGATGTTGTGTAGAGATTTCTAAAAACTTTACAATCAAACTTTGAGAGTATAAATCACCTAGCAAACCATATCTAATATGAAATCAAAATAAGAGCGGAAGCATTAAATAAACTAGGGATTTATGCAAGTCTTATTTGGTCCCAATCTATATAAGTTTATGAAAGTGTGCACCAAAGACTCTTTAAATCCTATTTGAAAGAAAGATAAGATGTTCATACCCTTAAAGTGAATCTTGAAACTAAGAATGGTGTTCAAGTAGATGGAGTGGTCCATTTGTTGTTGGCTCTCCCTTTGATATTGATTCTCCACCTTGTAGCTCTCCAAATAGGTATAAAGATATGCACCTCCCCAAAGTTCTTCCCCAAGGATTGAATGGGAAGAGAGAATAAGTAGACAACAAGTGAAGAGTGGTGCTAGCACCCTCACTTGATGTGATAGATTGAAGGGGTTATGGAGAGAGAGCTTGATGCTTTCTCTCTTCCAATTTCACCAACTTGAAAACCCTAGGAAGATAGGATTCCATAACTACAGACTTATAGGATAAAAAATCTCACAAGGGTGACAAAAATGCCCCCAAACCCTAGTGTGGCCACACCTCCCATTTGTGTGTCATCTTTTGCTATCTTGGTCCAACACATTAATTCTATAATGTGTCACATATGTGCCTAAGTCCATATGGGACCTTTTAATTAAAGTTTCATAACTTTAATTGAATAATTTAATTAATCTAATCAATTTAATTACCCTAATGACTTAACTAATTCAATCACTCACTTGTCTAACGAGTGTTGGTCCCGGTCATCTTTAGTTGACTGTGTCAAGTGTCAGGTCAACTGTTTGACTTTTGACTTTTGACTTTCACATTGACTTTGACCAAGTCATAAAATCATTCATTTTCTTCATAATTTCCCAATCGATTCCTTTTTGGTGTGTGATCTTATAGGTTCTAATTAGCGAGGTAGTGTGTATGAATAATTCACTCTGAATCAAGTGTGAATTGTATCCCTCCATACAATTCTCCCTATTGACGAATGCTAATTATAATTAATCCTTACAGGGCTTCCACAGCCATGAGTGATACCTAGCAGTATGTCATGGCTATCGAAGCTAAAAAGAATTCTTTTAGAGAACCTAGTCAGTTTGTGATTACAATGCAATTCGATCATTCTCTAATTCAATACTCTATGTCATATTCTCGGGATATGGTAAACTTGTGTCAAAATCCCTAATATGACATCTCTAGATTATATGAATCAATTTGATGAAATTGCAGAAGTTCTTGTTTCAATTGTCATCCTATACTTTGGCCAAAGACTTACAAATTATATCTGTAGAGTATTCTTTATTTTTACTAAGAGCAGAGATTCCTTGTTGTACTTTCACCTGTCTCTGCGTACAAAGCTAAGAATCTCGAGGAACACCTTTAAGTCACATCATTTTGATACGACCGTATAGTGTTCTCAAAGAGAAACAACATACATAAGACAACTACGATATCTCAAGTTTAAGGATTAATTTGCATTATCACAACTTAGAATTCTTTGTTTGACACTTGTGAGTAAGACTTCCATACAAGAATTCTAGAGTTCATCGCGTTCAGTGGACTCCATATTCTATAGAGCACCTACACATCTGCCTCAGTGTCTCTATATGAATGACTTGAGACTAGTCATCCTCCCAATTGAGCAGACATAATGTGTACCAGTTTTTTATGGTCGCCATTATCCAATTGGGGATCCTATGACCAAGAACATTTTAGGATACAATATTTATATGTATGGAAAGGTTTCGTGCATGTAACTTCTTTAGACCACTTTCCATTTCTATCTTAATCCATGGACTTGTTACTTTGTGTACGTTATGTATGTAAAACAACGTTCTTGCCCCTTTGATTATTATATATTATTTTCTTAGAATTATCCATTTTATATTGGCTTCTAGGGCATATATGTAACACATAACTAGGAGTTTGCATCTATTCTGGAGACTATCTGTATGAGATTTAGACATCCTAGTGTCTTTGTTGTGGTTGAACTAGGGTTTCTCCAACCTGGACTTGATTGGAAGTGGCTGGATTGGTAGTTGTTGGTCAGTAATTGCACTTCAATACCTGTTTTTCTTGACTTGGGATGACCCATAAGTTATTCTGCTGAGCTTAGGACATTAATGTGTCTATGAGCATTTGTTGAGGTTTTCATATGATGAACAACCTGAGTTCTACATGGTTCAACTGCTCTGAACCGAATTTGTAATGACAAAAAGCTAAGTTCTACTTGATTCTTCTGAGCTGAATCGCATTTGCAATGAGAGAAATCTCGTTTTCCTTGTTGGTGAGTTACTTCTTTGAGCTAGATTGAAGTTAGAAATCTGAGTTCTGCCTGTTTTGTAGAAAGTTGGATGGCTTTTGTAAGCTAGATAGCTTGATTGCTTCTGAGTTTGAAGGCTTTTGTGATCTTATGATCTTTGAATTTTTTTTTTAGTTTGACTGAGAGTTTTTGGTTGTATGTTTTGTTGGTTTGATTTTTCTGTCCTTGCTCCAGTTCATGTACTCTTGTATTTATAGAGAAATGCATGCCGAGAACTAGAGTACAATTGTTGGAAAGTGATGAGAACTAGAGCACAATTGCTGGAAAGTGTTAATCCACTGACCCTTGGTATCTCTAAGAGCATTTCCACCCACAAGGGCTAAGTCTAGGGCAAGGGCTGCCACTATTCACGTGAATAGTGTCAGCCTTGCCATTTGTGATTCCACCCATGAGGGCTAAGTCTAGGGCAAGTCTAAGGCAATTACTATTCACTTAATATTTTTATTTTTTATTTTTTTATAGTTAAAACATTGATTTTGATAAGCTTTTCGGATAAGATTTTCAATTCCCAAGTGTTAATATTTATCGTAAAATCCTCACCTAAAAATCAAGATAACATTTTCAGATAAAATTTTGAAATTAAATTGGTGTGGAAAGTGAATAATATTGGTAGGTATGTATAGAATAAATTTCCAGAATTTTGTGATATTTTTTTTAGCCAAAAATTGGACAACCGTTGGATTGTGCAAGATTTTTTGATCGGAGACTCCAGAAGAAGCCACATGGCTTGTAACCATTGAGCAATATGGGCTGGTGGGTCCAAAAGTAAAAAAAAAAAAATTGAAAATCAGCTGCTGACGTCAACAGTCCAGTCAATTTCTGCTTGTGGGCTTGCCCGGGCTGGTGGGTCCCACGCCTTGCCCGGGCTGGATTTCCTGCACTAGAGGTCTCTTGGGCTCGCCAGGGGGGCCTTTCCCCCGATTTGGGTCTGGCGCTGGAGATGCTCTAAAGGAATAAGTCACCTTTCTAGCTTTGCTTTTCTCTCAACCCATTTCCGTAAAAGCCTTATGTTGACAGAATATTCTTTGGCTTGTAGTTGCCTGATTTCCTAGGAAGCCACTGGCTGTGGTTGAGAAAAGTGCCCTGCTTTTACCTTTCTAGCTCTAGAGTTGCCTAATTTGGTTTTGAGTTGGTAACCAACGGTGATCATCAAATCTTAAGCTCAAAACATGTAATTTGGAAACAGGGTAAAAACAAACCAATTAAACTTAGGTATTAGATTAAATCACCATTGGTGGTAATTAAAATCTATCCTGTGAAAATTACTTTGGGTAATTGGTTTGTTTTAACTCTCCTTCTTTGAAATGCTATGGGCTATTCTCCTTTTTTGGCAAATAGAACCCATAGACTGATGGGCTGGTGTACATAAATTAGGCATAAACAAAAGCAACAACAGCTATAATATAATGCAAAACTTCAAGCATGGAACTTGTGGAACCCATAAAATAAGAATAGCAAAATAATATTATCTCCGTTGTAACTATGTTGCACAACTCTTCAAATGTGTGGCTCACTATCCACTAACAAATTAATAAGTAATTAACCTGACCCACCACTTTATATCTTATTCAATCATTGATATTATACAAATTGGGTTAAATGACAAACCCATTATACGATCACATTATTTATTTCATGAGATTTATTTAATTGACATTGGACCCAACCAAAGTCAAAACTACACAAAATCACACGCATGCAAAGAACACAACTAAAAATAGTCACACACTAAGCAAACCTAGAATTTCAGTCCAGAACCTTGCAACTTCTCTTCATTGATGCAATCTAGTCTCTCCACCATTTCATCTGTTAGATAATTCATCCTAATCTCCAACCTCACCTTTCCTGAAAAATGTACTATTCTCCTCACCTGATGATAATTTCCCACTTTTATTCACATCCAAATTGCTCAAGTTGTCAAAACTACACAACCTTAAGATATCATCTGCAACTCCTTGTGTCTCTTCCACTGGAGAAAATGGGCACCCTAAGAATTCAGCTAACCTCCTCAAGTGAACAGTGGGCTCTTCTTTCATTTCCTCAAACTTGAAGCACATTACCTTTTCAGGCCGTTCCAAACTCTCCTTCCAATACCCCAACACATTACCTTTTGTTCTTGTGCCCCTACTTTTGGCTCTCAATTTGTTGGCGAAGTGCCAAAGAGAAACAAATGTGTCCTTAGGATCTCTACACAAGTCAACAACTTTGCGAGCAGAGTTTTTGACAGAATCAGGCAGAGACACATACGTCAAAAAGAGCCTCGGGGGCTCCACGCCGGTGAGGTCAGGAACCTGTTTCTCGATGTACACATCCAGCTCCAAGAAGGGCACAAGAACATGAGGGTTGTTTGTGAGCAGAGGGTGTTGTTGAGGGTCTGGATAGTGCACCCTTTTCACTAGGGCAAACAGAACTGCCCTGAGCCAAGTGGTGCCTGATTTGGGAGTGCTAACAAGAAGGATATCAGTGTCTAGGGCCTGGAAGTGTTTCTGGCATGCTAAACTCCCTGCATGTGCCTAGTTGCATGCCAAAAACCTTGGTACTGACGAAGGTTGTTTGCAACCCAACCCTTTTCTGTAGGTAGAGAGGATATAAAGTCTCTGTTTTCTTGGCTGAATTCATATTCTTACAAGTATTGGGGAAGAGCAGGAGGAGGTTGAGGTGTTGCCATGGTATTCAAGACAGGTAAAGCTGAAAGAGTGGTGCTCACGGTCCTTGATGTTTTCCTGCAATGCTTAAGCAGTATAGTTTTGCTTCTATTATATAGCAATCGCAAAAACAAAAACAAAAAAAATCCACCTAACCTAACCTAAGCAGTATTTATAACAAAATAAAAATTGATTAATGAACTTTTTGTGTGATACATGTAGGGACGAATTTAGGATTCCAAATTTGACTGGGCTAAATTTACTTTACATATATAAATATACTAAGTATATAGAAAACTCGACAGTACAATGTAATTTCATTGATAACCAAAACAAAACAAAAAAACCCTGATCAAGAGGGGCATAATAAGCATTACTCCTAAAATAACACTATATAAGTTGCACCATTCGAGTCTTCATAGAATTAAAATAATTCATTATCTATATGAGTTTGGTGACAAAGCCGACAACTCTAAGAAACAATCAAACAATTTCTTCAACTTTTCTTTCTTTTTTTCCATGGGCTGTGCTTTTTGTTTTCCTCTCTTTTTTTTCCCTATGTGTAGAGATGTGCAGCTTTCCTCTTCTTTGTTTTTTTCTCCACGTGCAGTGCAAATGATTCCTTGGGAGGGTAGGTTATTCAATTGGCTGGGCTATAAATTTTTTTTTTTTTTTGGGCTGCTAAAAAAACAGCCATCTAGGTTGTAGCCTAGGTTAGTCATGCTTATGGTCCGTCCCAGGATACATGTGATCACAGTACAGACATAAACCCAGTTAACAATCCTTGGTACACAATTTGGGAATTATTCATATGATCATTATATTCAGAAAGTGTACTTTCAATTGGAGATGATTTTCTAACCATGGCTCTCATGCATGATTATTTATCAAATGATTAATTAGCCCATGATTCATGAGTGGTTGGGCTTTCAATTAAGTATTATAATTGTCGTTATACACTGGATCACGGATATCGACAGATGGCTAAAATATTAATTAAAAAAATCATTAAAAGGTATGCAACATCTGTCTAAAATCGAACTTTTATATTATCCAATACCCATGCATGGAGAATTCAGAGCAATATCTGTCGGAGACAATTGCTTTGTTGAAGCATTAAAGTATGTGTTCCTTGTTTGCTTGCACGAATGAGGTGACAGCCACCTTTTGATGATTGCAATACTCTCGCAAGCAACCTTAATTATAGCACATCTTCGCAAATATTTATCTGTCTAAAACAACAAACTTTTCAATTTTAGTTTTTAGTTTTTATTTTTTGTGCTACATTATAGAGTAAAACGAGAATGATGATGAGATTGAGAAGAAAGATGAAATAATTATCAAACAGCCATATATACTCTCTTTTCGTGAACTTCAGATAACCTAAAAGAAATTAATAAACTGGATGAAACCTTGGGTTAACAGGAAGGGGCCATTGTGATATAAACAAATACAAAGTGCTGGACAAATAGCAGTGGGTGTCGACCAAGAGGAGTGGTGCTGACCAAAGTGAAAGACAACTACATGTGCTCCTAACCTTTACCGATTACTTTAAGATTAGTAATGATGGGATGCACTAGTGATAAGAGTTTGACCATGTATATAAATAGGGAATGTATTTTGTAAACAGATGTGAGAAATATAAAACAGTTTCTTCAATACATTCTGAGGTGAACCTCATGTCTAACACATCTTTGGCAGGGTTTTACTACAAGCTCTATCTAATTCTCATTTCTCATCAATTTACAGAGAAGTAGAAGAAAATTGTTATAAAGGCTTTCATAAGGAAACCTACACGAATTGTTCCTCAAAAGTCACAATCTCTTGTCTGCTGTGTGACCGTGAGTAGCGACTGCATGGTGATGAACTGCAAACAATTCTGAACAAAAATTGTATGTGCCCCATCATCTATGCCCCTTGAAATCCAAGCCTTTTTCCCTGTCGAAAATAAGAAACTCATCTCCTTGGTTAAAACCACATAGAATTAATCATGCAGTAAGAAAGAGAAAGTGACAAGCAGCAATTACATCATATTTCAACATCAGGCACTCCGAATAAGAATGAAGTTGGATCGTCGGAGCCAAGTAGGGGCATAGACTCTGATCCTCTCACATGAACACCGAAGCAAGCTACAGAAAGATCTCCAGTTATTAAAAGGATTCAACCATAGAACTAAGAATTTGTTAGGTACATGTTAAGTACAATTTATTACAACATAAATTTGAAACTTAGTTACGGTAGATTACTACTTCAGAAATAAGTAAAATTTCCAGCTTTTCTTATTCTCAACTCTATTGAAAATATAAAACATATAAGTGTTTGTTGTTAAATTTTGAAAGAGATACACTTGCATGACATAAAATTCAAGGGTCCTAATTTGATTCCATACACAGATTGCAAGTAGAAAATTTCCCTATTTCCTATTATTTTATTTAGTTCTTCCTAATATTCCAGTCTGTAGCGACGTTCCAAAGCATGAGATTAAATACGTTTATAACATTTTTTGTCATGGTTAAGTGCAAGAAAACTGTCGACACTATACCATTCTCTATCTTCATTACACTCTGAAGCATTGTATCCATTTTCGACTTCATGTCATGACTATCATCCATAAATGGGACAACAAGGGTTAGTTCCCTGTAAATTTCACGCACAAACTCGCATATCTTCTTAGCGAAATCAAGTTCACCATCTGAAATTCGACCAATTGCCAACCGCATCAGCTCTCCAGTCAAATCTGCAAGCTGTACAACAACAATGAGTTAGTCTTCTGGTGTTTGAGGAAAGGATATAGTATGTGTTTATATGAATGCCCTCCAGTCAAATCCAAAAGGTGCATGAGAATACCGAACAACTCCTCCTAAAAAATATATATCCGTCCATGTGTTACAGATACACACACGCATATACACAGTTAATGCCACTTAATCCAAAAACCATATTCAGTTAATCAACTGGCCTATAGTTTGCTTTTCGCACAAAGAATGTAAGAGCAAAATTGGAAAAATTACCCCGAGGAGATAGTCAAGGACATTGATCTGCAAAGGCTCAAGAGAAGGATCACTGAGTGGTAACAAAGTAGCATTCATCTCATCAAGGTTTAAAAGAGTCCCAGTCCTGCAGAATTTACAGAACGTTGCAGCTTCAACATATTCTTGTACCTGCAAAATTAACGAGGCATACCATTTAGTGGACATCACATAAGAATCAAGCAGAAGCAGACGGAGAAGGAGAATCCACCCCACCCCAGGTGAGTATGCCCGTCTTAGCTTCCAAAAATCAGTCCCTTGCAGCTCCCTAACCAGTCGGGAGATGTACTGATCAGTCACAGTTGCTAAATCCTTTTCTGCTTTCTGCAGAACTTCCTCTTTGTTGTGTTTACTGATTCTGTTCAAGTTCAAATTTACAGCAATAACATTTCAATGCATGCCACCAAAGCAGTTGCAAGACAAATTACAAAACAAACGCAAAGGTCTAGGGTTTAGGTCTCAGCTTTCTTACCTGTGCACCTGAAAGATGACCTTTTTGCTGTTAATGGTATTAAATGGCGACACAAAACCCCACATTGTTAAACAAAAAGCCTCCAGCTTCACGCAAGTTGCATACATGAAATCACTCGTATTGCTGCAATTAGAGAAATTGAATTTAGGGATTTACCAGGCCATTGAGGTAATCGGTGTATTTGGCGAAGGCATCTTTCATGGAGGATTCAGTGGTCATCGTCCTCACCCTTTTTGCTACGCTCTGCGACGTCGTCTCTGCAACTGTGAGCGAGTCAATGGCTCAATCTAAACTCCAAAAAGTCTGCGTTTTCAATTCGAAACAAAAAGAGAAAGAGAGCGATAGGTACTGTTGTGGAGGCGCTGGGATTTGAGAGCCATCATCCGCAGAGATAAGCGCTGCAACTTCAACATCCTTCCCCCACCCCTTGCAATTTTTAACGCCTAAATCACTGTGCTTTTTCATGTCGTTTTTCTATACCCCTGACGACGCCACCCTCCACGTCGTTTTTGTCGTCCTCATCCGAGAAGAGGAGCTAGCCCTGTTTTGGTGAATCAAACGGGTCTAAACTCGAAACCGTAAATCTTAAACCAATTTTTTTTTTACAAATTTATAAATAAACTCAATCTTAGACATGTATTTATAAAAAAACCCAAGTACTATTTAAACATAGAAACACACCCAAAATCAACCTCAACGTCAACTTTTTGGGTGTGTTTATAAATGAGTTTTGAGTGTGTGTAATGATGAGTTTTGGGTGTGTTTATAAAGTGTTTTGGGTGTTGGGTTTTTTTATAATTTCAACCTCCATTTTGGGTGTTTTAGTGAAACTCCCTTTTTTTTTCTTGAAAAACACTTCCCTCATAATCTTGTAAATAAAAACTCCTACATTCATGCCAATAATAGTATAATATATTTGCATAATTTTTTGTGTGCGTTTTTTATAAATTATTTGTATATCAAACTGTGATTTGCTGGAAGAAAGCAAGTATTATCTTTTTATTTTTTTATTGGAGTAGATGCTTTATAAAATAAAAGCACCCTACAAGAGTACAAAAGATAGAAAAAAAATATATGAAACCAAACTTTACTTGATTTTTCAATTTACACACATGTTAGAAATTTTTTTATTTTGAAAAAGTCTATATTAGTCTATAATTTGCTAAATAAAATTATAATTCTAAATTGTTAATGAGGATAAATTAGTCATATTATCTTTCCTTTCTCATAAGAAAAGAAAACGAATAAAGGGTTTCATTTTCCCCCTCTTTTTCCAGAAACCCCTTTCCCATGTGACAAAAAACCTTTTCTAAACTTTCCAAACATCCTAAGCCCATTTTCTCATGCATCGAATGCACCCTCAGTGGCAATGCTCCTAAAAACGACGTCGTTGGGACTGCTCACTACTACTGCCATTAGCAAAACATTAAACAAATGCTTCTTTACCAAAGCCGCAAGTCCCGCAACTCTGCGTTTGGCGCGTAGATTTCACTGCTCCCTACCCAGAAAGAGGACAAAGAAGATGGTGACGCTGATCGTGGCGACGACGACCGACCCCGCCTCCATCAACCCGGCCAATGCCCTCCTAGCCATGCCCGGCTGGGACCCGACCCCTTCTTGTTTACAGGTCTGCTAATCCAATGATAATCGTTAATTATATCATTAATTATAGTTTATCTCATCATTAACTTAATGAATTGAACAATAGGATATGAAGGGGTTTGGCAATGGAGCAGGAGGAGTTAGGGTTTTGCTGCACAACAAGGGGATAGTGGAAGAAGACGACTTGGACAGGCGGTGGGAGGAGGCCACAGGCGAGCGAGTCGATGAGCTGATATTTCTGAGCAAGCACACCGCCGTCTCGAACCGACCTGCCCTGACCGTACACCCGATCGGGGTCCCTCATCTGCGTCCTGGTGACGCTGCGCCGCAAGGTGGGAGGCCTGGTTGGGCCGCACCCCCAAGTCCGCGCATTGGGCCCTGGCTCAGGCACTTGAAGGAGCTTGCCCAAGCCCACAATTTGGTTCCTGAGTTTGAGGTTTCTTTCTCTCTTACTTTGCATTTTTCAGTTCATCTTTTGTCATTGGCAATGTGTGTGTTGTAACTTGTATTGTTATACATACTTAACTTGAAATGCATTGCATGTAGATAACTTTGGAGGGCACACATCATGGACCGATCACAAATACACCTACTATGTTCCTAGAGATTGGTGAGTTTTAACTTTTGAATCAATCCCAGTTGGCTTCTGCTTGCCTTTTTTGGTAGTTACAGTTCATATGTGATTGGTTTCTTGTGGGTTGATGTAGGCAGTACAGATGAGTACTGGAAGAGGCAGGATGCAGCTCAAGTTATTGCTCTAGTTGAGTATAACTATAGCCATTACTTTCAATCATTTGAGCATGAGCCATTGATATGTTCCTGCTTTCGGTTTTTTGAATAAATACTTTTGCTCCCCTTATTTGTGCTCTTATTGGATTATCTTTTACCTGACTTTTGGAGAATAATGGTTGCAACTTGTGTACTTGCTTGCAGTTAGTTTGGGAAGGACTTGGGCTTGGAGGGGGAGCTGCTGTGGGAAACTGGAATGGGTACTGTCAACAATAAGTAGACAATTTATCATTCTCTGTTTCTTATTGATTTTTATGCAAAGCTCATGCATATTTGTTTGCACTTCAAATAAAAGTTGCTTCTCACCTCAACATATTGTGTTGTCTATTCCATTTCTTGATGATGCTAATCTAACCCCATTTTCTATATTATTTGTTTTCTAGGGAGAAGGATAAGAATAGAGTTCTTCTTGGCATAGGTGGTGGACATTATGCACCTCGGCATATGGATATAGTTCTGTAAGTTATAGTCAATTACTGTTTTTCCATTTTCTTTCAATTATTTCGCATTCCTTTCTTAGTGGACGCATCCAGCTTTTTTCTTTTTTCCTTTTGTTGTGGAGTGCGATGCATCAGTTACTATTGTTGTGGTGGACATGTCAATTTGAACTGGAATCCCTTTACATTGATTGATCATGTAAAAGTAAATGTGGTAAATAGGTCTGTTAAAATTGATTACCAGATTGTAGATGATACTTTCTTCATCGTATTTACTGTTTGGAGCTTAAGGCTTGGTCCCCTTTCTGAAACCTTGTAACATCCCTCGCCCCTTTCCTCTCTTCCAAATGAGTGTGCTTTGCATTTCGATGGAAAATTAGTTACTAACTTACTCAATGCATCGATTTTCTTGGCCCCCTTTTCACCATGTTAACCTTTTCTCCGTCATGTGAAGGACATTTATTCTTTGAATATTTTATACTAGTCTGTATTCGATATGTAGTGTACAAATACTTGTTGATGGCCGATATAGTGAAGATATTTGGTCTACTCCATGAACATATCCCCATTCTTTGCAAGTACAGGAAAGATGGTGTGTGGGTGGGCCATCTACTGTCGGGTTATTCCTTGCCAATGGAAGATCCAAGCCAGTCCAAAGCAGAAACAAATACAAAAGAAATTGGTGGAACTTGGAGAGAAGCAATCAAAGCAGGATTTGAGGCTACGCAATCAGCTTTCCCTGGTGGGGAAATTCTAGCTCATCTCGATCACAAGTAAGTTTTGTTCGGCGGTTGCTTTAATATGTGATTTGCATGTCAAACATCTCATGTCAGATCGTTATATAGAGATTGGATTTAGTGTAGGTTCTAAAACTCAAAAGAGTAGTTTTGAAATATATTAAGGTACAGCTAGAGAACCCTCATGCGACCCAACAATTGTTGATTGGATTCATTAGTAGAAATAGAAAGTATTATTGCGAAGTTATCTTATACAACTTTTGATTGTCAATGGCAGGAGTTTCAAAAGCTGGCAAAAGAATGCTATAACGGGTTTCCTAGGCGAGCAGAACATCAAAATTGGCAAACCCAATGATTTCTACTGAATTCAATGAATGGCGTTGCATATTTATAGTTTTGATTTTTGCAGACAATAGCAGGCTCTCATTTGGCAGACCACACTGAGATGTAGTTGACAACTTAACACCCTATATAGTACCTGGTAGCACTCAATTTTACTGCACAAGTTATGGTTACTGCTAAAGGATATATTTTGTCTCGCATCAGTGTTGTCAATAAATGTCATGTTGGATTTGGGCCTTCATCATATAACATATGGCCCGCCTTGCGCTGGAAACATTTAGAGTGCATAAAAATAAGAAACCCAATGCAAGAAAAAATTAAATCAACTATAGAAGATCAAAGAGGCAGCACTTGAGTCAAAGGGCTTGTTAAAAATATTCATCCTTGTATGCGAGGTCATGTGCTCGATTCCGTGTTCGATTCTCCCATCCGCGTCGAAAATTAAATTTGCCTTTCGGAGCCGAAAGAGTGAAATAAAAGTAACAACACTTGGCGTTGGTGATCAAAGCTTTCCGTGGTTTGAGGGGGTGGATTGGTGTCCATACTGAGTTGTCGATTATATTTGTCAAACTTTGTGGTGATTATGTTTCTCTTGATTACGTGATTATGCAATGTTGTCAACCAGTCATTATTAAGCTTACGCTTTATCAGACCACGGCCATACTAAGCATGCCAAGCGCATGAACCACGTACATACGACAATATAATAACAAAACTGATAGGGTTGTCATGCACATAAATAGTCTTGCATAGACAGCATTCATTTTTCTAGGGTCAACTCTAAAATTTGACCTGCAAGCTTTCTTTTATTTATTTATTTTATTTATTTTTATAATTTTGATTATAATGAATGGAGTGAGAGCAAGACATATGGACCGGGTAGCATAAAATCATTATTATTATTGTTACTTCAACACTTGGTGTTCTTTCAAAAATATTATTATTATTATTATTAGACAAGGCGGTAGTTTAAATTAGTTTAATATGCATTGAGGGGGTCAAACTTTTGTATAAGAGGGCGGAGACATCACATTACTTTAACCAACTAGTCTAATTCACGTTTGCAATAATATAATTTAGTTGAAGACACGACTACAAATATATTTTAACTTGTGTTGCTTCTTATGAATTGATCTTCTTCGTCTAAGCATGTACGCAAGATGTACATCCTCGTGTACTTTTTATAAAGAGCTCACTTGTGCACAACATAATATCAGTTTTTATTATTATATTTAATTAAAAAATAAATTGGCTCAAATTATGATGTCAACGAAGCGACAGTGAGATAACAAAGTATTAAGTAGCCTCCAAGTAATAAAAAGATTATTAGAAACTTAAAAATGAAAGTGAACAATCCCATGCCATTGCCAGTACAGATCAGATAATGCAGCTCCTCCAGGTCATTGCTTTCATATACAGTTTTCCAACACGTAGGAGGAAAGTCAAAACACTCAACACCAATCCAAGGGCCAAAACCCTACCTTCCCTACATCGTTGGCAATACCTCAACCCTTGGATTAAGGA